AAAAGAGTTCTATTGCAACACTTCAGCTGCTAAGATGAACTCATCCAGAAAAATCACATATTCTAAGACTGAAGTTGTCTCCCTCCCTAGATAGGGCCAAAAGTAGGGGCCTTGGCATTACTCTTTTGTGAAAAAGATCAGAGAAAATATTAATTTAGTTAATCTAATACATTCCCTCACAATTAAAGACCTGTTTCCTAACTCAGGGGTTCTCAAAATTTGTGATACCGCGACCCCATAAAATGCTAAATGAATTTGTGTGACTCCCCACCTCACCGCTCCAAGAGTAAAGCTAATCATTTTATTGGGATTAGGATTGGACAAAAAAATAAATATGCCAATAACATTAGACAACTAAATTTTTTATTGGAAATAGATAAAAAATATCAAATTTGGAATCATTGTTTTAATGTGAAGGATGAGCTTGTTTATTGTTGCATAATTTTTGAAATCTGGGTTTCATTGTCGAGATAGTCACTCTCAGTTCTCGTTCCACATTTACTTTTGATCAATATTTGCTTTTAACAGCAGCAATTGCAGAAAACCCTGACTCGCACAAATAAGATGTTGCAAACGGGATCAGTATGTTCTTAGCCTTCTCGCTTAATTCTTTGTATTCATTTTGCACAGTGATCCAAAATTCAGAGACACACATTGTTGAGCATTTTATTTTTAAAGCAGTTTCAGAAGAGATATCAATGATTTGCTCCTCTTCGGTAGTATTAGTTTAGTATCGAATGGGTTCCTTATCCAATCAAATTTTTCAATATCCATATCTGAGAAATAGTTCTTAAAGTGAAATTTTAAAGAAGAAAGGTGATTTAAAACACAAAATTTCACATCTTCACTAATGTGTGTTATTGCTTTCAATGAATTGTTTTAAAGTAGGAAACATGTCTACATTTGAATTTTCCATTTTGCTCTGCCACAGTTCAACTTTCCTAATAAATGCTTTCAATTTATCATAGCGTTCAAGAATATTATTATTACCACCTTGCAGTGAGGTATTAAGAGTGTTCAGCTTGTTTAATATGTCACTTAAATATGCTAACTGCATATTGAAATCACAGTGGTTAAACAAGTGTGCACTACTGTGCCTTTCCTCAATTAAATACTGATGAAGTTCATTTCTTAGTTCGAAAACACGTGTCAAAACATTTCCCTGAGACAGCCATCTTGACACTCAGTAAAACAGCAAGGAAGTGTGTTCAGCGCCCATCTCTCTGCAAAACCTTGCAAACATTCTTGCCTTTACAGGCCTGGTTTTTATATAGTTCACAACATTTATAGTTGCTTGTAGAACATTCGCCAATGCCGGGCTCAAATCTTTCGAAGCGAGAGCTTGCCTACGAATCATACAGTGTCTCCAACCAGCACCAGGAGATTTTTGGCGTGTTAATGCTTGAAGTCCTGTATGACAGCCTGACATAGAGCGTGCTCCGTCAGTGCATATGCCCACGCAGCTCGACCACTCTAAGAGATTTGACTTCATAAAGCTATCGATTATATGGAAAAGATCTTCAGCTTTACTTGTCCCTGTAATTTCTTTATAAAAGAGTAACTCCTCATTTATTTTACCATCATCAACGAATCTAACATACGTTATTAAATGAGCATCTTTAACGTTATCTGTTGCCTCATCTATCTGAATGGCAAATGATTTGCTTCTTATTTTTTCAGTTAGTTGCTCATTAAGATCTTCTGCCATATCTGCAATTTGGCAGCAAACAGTGTCATTAGACAAAGGGATACTTAAAAGCTGTTAAGCACTAGACTCCCCCAACATAGTCGTAACCATATCAATAGCTGATGGAAGTATTAAATTTTCTCCAATCGTGTGGGGCTTTTTGTACTGAGCAATTCTGTATGCAACTTGATTAGAAGCTAAAAGTGATTTTGAAGGGATGCTTGCATATTTAAGTAGACTCACATTTTGTTGTTTCATTTCATCTCTTTTTCGAATGAAAAAATCTCGAGGTTTGTAGTTAAGTCTGCATGACTTGTTTCCAGATGTCATTTTAGTTTTCCTGGTTTCATACTTTCAGCAGATAGCGTTTTCTGACAAACAATACATTGAAGGGCTTTCTATTCCAATAACAAAAACACTCGTGAAACCAAAAGATAAGTAACTGTCATCATACTTTCTTGATGTAGGCCTATCGGTAGATTTGTCATCAGGTTTTTCTTACCACCCAACAAAAACCTTTCCATGTTGTAAGGCTAGAAATTTAAAACAACAGATAAACTTATAAATAACAGATACATTTATAATAATTGATAAAAGAATGGAACTTCACAAACCCTCCAAGGACTACTAAGACGTGTTACTAGTAAACACTACGGCGTGTCAGCAGAGACACCGGAGACACACGAATATTTGAGAAATAAGCCGAACCCGACCCCAACCGTTTCAGATCACGGGATTAGCGATTAGATTGTCAGTGGAGATATCGGAGACACGTGAACATATGCGAGAGAAGTCGAGCCCAACTACTGGTAATCACGTGATCAATGTAAATAGATTGCCAGTTGAGATTAGGGTTGCCAAATGGTTTAACAAAAAATACCGAACACCCCTCTCCCTCGCAAAAAAAAAACCCCAAAAAAACCAACACACCGGGAAAAATTCTGTCGAGAAAAAAAAAGGGGGGAGACCAAAGTTGTTAAGCAAAAGTTGCACCACTTTGTCCAGTTTGGGACTGCACATTAACCGCCAATGCACACACCCCTCTCCTTGATCCAGGCCCCTTTAGCTCCCCCCATCCCAGTGCACTCCCCCTGCCTCAGACCCAGGACCCCTAGCATCCCCCCATCCCAGCGCACTCTCCATGCCCCCTGAGGCAGGCATCCTTAGCCTCAGGAGCCCTGCTCCAATCAAATATCTTCTCTCTCTCCCTCCCCCCTCCCCCGCCCCCGCAGAGCCAGGCATGGAGGAGCAATTTTACTTTCAAATTGGCTGCTCTTGCTGCCCCGTCCTGGCTACCTCAGCTCGCAGCTTGTAGGGGAGGCGTCACATGGAACAGAGCAGCACGCTCTCCGCTCCCACCCAGCCTGGCGCCCCCATAGTGTGGTGCCCAGCAACTGCCCTCCTCTTGCCCCTCCCTTTGCTAGACTCTGCGGTGCTCCTCACTCCCCCGCCAGACACGGCAGGGGAAAATTGACCAGACTGTCCAGAGATGCCGGGGAGAGACAAGTGCAAGAAAAAAGCATCCAGCTGCGACTCCCCTGTAAGTTGCTCGCAACTGCTGGGGGTCGCAACCCAGTTTAAGAAACGCTGCCCTAACTGGTTTTAGTGCTGTGTTCAACCTAGTTTTAAATGTCGATAATGATGTTTTCTACTCCTTCCTCAAAAGACATTCCACAAGTGAGTATGTCTCTTTGTAAAAGATTTCCCTGATAAGTCTAATTTTTCATTGACCTAATGTCATTCTATTACAAATATTAACCAATTATTCCTAGTTAAAATAATGTATATCCATCCTCTATCTTTACATCCCTGAAAAACTTGTAGGCTAATGTTCCCATTTCAGTCATTGCTAAGGCAAACTACATACATTTAGCCTTTTTAATCTTGCCACAAAAATGTATCCATCCCGTCCCTAATCATTTTCGTTGGTCTTTTCTGAACTCCTTCCAGTTTGCCAGGATCATTCTGGTTCTAAGGTGCTGTGAAATGAATGAAGATCAGAGCTGAGTACAGACTCTGCTGGGCTCTACAGGCATAAGGGGCAGGCCTGGGGGAATCATCCACCCCAGAGGACCCTTCAGCTCTGCCTGGGGTGCACCATCCAGGGTTTCAGCAGCAATTTAAAGGCCTTGGGCCTTCAGCTGCTGCTGCTGAGATAACAGTGACCATGTGCCCCAGACCTTTTTAAATAGCCAGGTCCTGGCGCAGCTGCCATCTTTTCCCCCTGCTGTTGGCAACCCCGCAGAAGATTAAATTAAATGAAAATGATTAACCAGCCAATTTCTGAAATCCGTATTCTGTTTCCTCTTTGTAAAACTTGATGCTATCTACATCTAACTGCAGTTCCTGACTTCTTATAGCACGCTGTGATGTTATAAACATCTATTCATCAATGACCCTGGATCTTAGTTAAGTGAAGGAGGGTAATTTTCATTATATTTTAAAATTCATTCACCAGAAATATTTAAGATTTGAATAGAATTACACTCAGCTCTCACACCTGTGTAACCCTACTGCAGTTAAATAGGCTACCCTGAAAAAGGCCATATCAACCTGGGACACCCAGTTTTACAGTATGGTCATACCCCAAGCTTAATCCAGTACTCCTTTTGTATGTGTAGAATCAAAGTATGGCCATGTTCTTTTCCCAACTGTACAGGCAAAACTAGTCAATGTGGTAACAAGGTAACTGCACAACTGTCTTGCAAAGTGATTCTCCTAACATAGTTGCAACAGTAGTGCAGGTAGGGTCTAGTAAAGAAGTACAGGGCTTATAAATGGTTGGCCATTTAAATAGATATTTTTAAAATATCTTTTAATTCATAATTAAAAGGGACACTGCCAACTTAAAAGTCTTCTTGCTGTGTCACTAACACCTCTGTTAGTAAAATTAAAAAGGAGGTTTTAAAACATTTCACTTATTACTAACTGGGTTGGCTGTGTACTTCTTGCAGTTCACTCAGCTTGCCAATGAAAGTAAGCTTCCCAGGTAGCCTGTTTCAATTTTCTGTTGCCATATGCTTGCATAACACAGTGTTGGGTTACAAATACTGCAAGGGAACATTTACAGTCCAACAAGACATATTTCTTTGCATTCAAAAATAATAATTAAAATATTACAAACCTTAAGGCTTTTTTTTTTAAATCAAAAACCTAAAAAACCCATACATTTTGGGTCAATGCAAATGTTTCAAGCAATGTGGAGATTCATCAAATGTGCTCATATCAGAGATTCAGTTGCTAACTTAAAAGCGTTCCCTACCAAACTTTTGAAAATTTTCAGTAAACCAGAAAAGGGAAACACCACTTTTACCTTCCATCTGCATAATCTGCATCTGCACCTCCCCACCAGACATCTGAATCATCTTCCTCAGCATCAGCTGAATCAAAATTTTCACCTTCATCTGCCAATGGACAGCAAACAAACTCCACACCACGGAACTTGTCAATTCCACAGGGCAGCAGCATACCGTAATCATGCAGATTCATACTCTTTTCACTACAAGACTACAAAAATAAAGAGAACAGTACCAACATTGTTACACAGTCAGCTGGTCAAGGAAAAGCTGGCATAGATGTTAAGAAAACACAAAGTCTCTGCACAGACTCAGAAAATTAGAATTAGCTTGTTAATTGACTTCTCAACTGTTGTGTCTAATAAATTCATTCAGTGGGAGAACATGGGCACCTTACCCATAGTAGAGTCATTTCATGCAGAAAGCTTTCCCTTCTCCTCAACTATTCTCCTTGCCAAAATATTTCATCCCTTCACATACACCTGATAATTCTACATCCCCTCACCTTAAACTCCTTTGAGGGCTTGTTTTTGCTGTGCACATATAAGCAAGGGACAGTGACAATTTGCCCTCCTTATATACAGTGCTATTGAAGAGGAGATGAGCTGATGATATTACAGGGTCAAACAGACTTCCAGGAAGTGGGAAAGTTACACTGGATCTTTAATAAAATGTCAGTTGTAAAATCATATGTTCTATGCTTTGTATCAATTTTGCAGATTGTCCTCCTAAGTTTCCTCCTCCTCTTCTTTCTTCTATTCCTTTCCCATTCCCCCTTTCTTTGCCATTAGATGATTATCTAATTTGCTGCATCATCTCTGAAATTACTCTGTAAATTCTTTGAGGAAGGGGTCATCTCTTAATTCTGTGAAGCATTTTTATAATAATGATAATGATAAATATGAGTGAGTCAAGCATTAAAGGGGCTTAAAAGGAATTAGAGAGAGAGAGAAGCTTAATATTGCCATGTACCCTCTGGGACAAATTTTTATAGGAAGTGAATTAGATGTTCTTAGGGCTTGTCTTCAGTACTGTGAAGACCGATGCTACAGCAGTAGATCTTGCAGTAGTTGATTTAGCGAGTCTAATACAGACCCACTAAACTGAATGATGGCAGTGCCCCCATCTTGCTGGTACTTCTACTCCTCACAAGGAGTAAGAGAAGTCGACAGGAGCATTTTTCTCATCTATCTTCTGCTGTGGGGCAGCCCAATAAAAATCGATGTAAGGTATGTCGACTCTAGCTATGCAATTGTCCTAGCTCCACATTGCCTTATTTTCCAAGCACAGAGAAGTAATCTTAGCAATACAGCAGCTTTCTATGAACAAATGTAACCGTAGATATGTGCTATAAGGCAAGCTAAAAGCTGGGGAGAAGAAACTTGTGAACAGAATGTAGGTATTGGGGGGGGGGGGAGGTAAAAGGTTTCTTTACTCTCTAGCAGTACCAACCTTCTGATTCTCCCTTTGAATTATTTGACACAACTATAAGGAGACAACACAGGGACACAGTACACAAACACTGGAACTTGCATATAAACATCAGAGTGTGTTCAAATTTGAGAATATGATATAAAGCAACAACATAGAAACCCAAGTGCTACCTCTACATGATTTACAAAATAATACTACTTTTGAAAAAAAATAAATTTAGCCAAATTATTCCTGTCTTTCTCTTAATTAAACGCACTAAATCACCACCCATCAATAAAGATTTACAAATTCACCTGTGTCCTCACCATTTTCTCTACAACAATTAGATTAGTAATTAGATACAACCCCATGATAGAAATGGAAAGAAAGATGGCTAGGAATTTCAAGATAAATTATATACCATACCTCTTTAGCAACCGTGTGCCAGTGCAGGTGGGTTTCACATCCATCCATCCTCTCCTGGTGAAGGAACTTGCACTTGTCTGGCACCAGAAGGGCATCACTCACAAACTCACCAACTGAAAGAAAACAATATAAAGTTCTAATTTCACATTTCATGATTTTAGTCTCTGAATTTTTGTTTTTAAAACTTAACAGTGCATAAGTCAACATCCAATTAACAGAGGCTAGAAAAAAAAAGTCTCTCTGACAAACAGGTTACTTATTAAATTTTCAACTCTAAGGATTCTTTAACTTACCGCTTAAGAATGTACCAGTCCCTTTCAGACAGACAGAATGCTTGCTAGTCAAATCCAGCATGGCAATTTCTAAGACAAAACCTCCAGGACTAAAGATTTCATTGGCCTTTCCTATTAAATTAGGAAGATCTCACAGTAGTCCCTATCTGACAAACATTAAAAGGTGAATCTGAATAATACTGGAGCATGTTTACATTATTTACATAGAAAACAAACGAGAACAAATCATTATTCCAAATCACTCTGAAGTATTTTAGTAAATAAGAGGATTATCAAAGCATTGTTATTGTGTAGCTTTTTAAAAACAAAACAAAACAGTATTTTAGTTCCCAGCACCATGATTAGGTATTTTTGCACCTGGTGCAAATTTTTAATTATGCACCCCCCTCTCCTTAGGTTAGCACAAGTTATGCTCTTTACTTTTGCAGTTTATTATTTTTATTTATTGCGTCTTTGCATCCCTGATCATGATGTACCCTGGGCAAGAGCCCCACTTGCCCCACCCTTTTTACAGCCCTATTAGTCCCTTTGTAGCTTAAGCCAGTTTCACCAGCAGGATGGCATATGGGGTAACTGAGAAAGTCAATGGAACTCTGAAACAACATCATAACAAGACACTGAGATCATTCGATTGTCAACTCTGTATACCGAGTTAATGCATGATCGCGGCCTCTCTCTTGAGCACTAGACTTTAATTGGCCAGGAGGGATCTACCTGCTGTACAATTTAAAAAGTGTTTAAAAAACACACCAGGGAATAAATGTCTATAGTATTGGTGTTTACAACTATGGGGAAAAGTATGATGAATAACATGATTTATTGCACTGCAATCGTAATTTCATAGCAATTTTTTAACTGAAATTTTTAAAAATTACAGAAGTGGAGATATCGGACAAACAGCTAGCAGGAAGCTGTCAGAGAACTGATGTGCTGTATTGTATGGATTCTGTCTGGAGAGTAGGAAGAAGTTACCTTCCTTGATATTTTTGAGATGTGTCACCTATGTATTCCACTGTGGGTACATGTGTGCTCCATGAACCTGGAGATGGAGAATTTTGTAAGTAGTTTCTGGTTAAAAAGCACATGCACCCTCTTCTTCCTCTGACAAAGGAGATAAAGTGTGAGGCAGTACACTTGCTTCACCAGCTCCTTCTCAACTACACATTCAGGAGATGAACTGAAGCAGAGTGGGAAGTGAAATACAGACAGGGAGCACACATCTCAAAGAACTTTCAGTTACAAAGATGAGTAATTACTAGGGATGTTAACTAACGCAGATTTGTGTATGTGTGTAATCACCGGATTTTTTAGCGGTTACATGTTTACATGCTGGGACAGGGAGCATGTGGAAGCTGGGACTTGCTTAAAAGCCAGCTCTGATATAGAGGCATCAGCAGCATGGAGGCAAGCTCCCCGTGGGCATTGACTCCTCCCCCCTTGCTGCCTTTGATACAAGGGGTGCATGTAGTTATTAGGATTTACACAATTAACCCAAGCTTATTGATTGTGTAAATGACTATACGCTAATATTCCTAGCAAATATTTCTTTTAATGCCATTCCTTTAGAAAAGAGGAGACTAAGGGGGGATATGATAAGAGGTCTATAAAATCATGACTGGTGTGGAAAAAGTGAATAAGGAAAACGTATTTACTTGTTTCCATAATATAAGAACTAGGGGTCATCAAATGACATTCATAGGCAGCAGGTTTAAAACAAACAAAAGGATGTTCTTTTTCACGCAGCACACAGTCAACCTGTGGAACTCCTTGACAGAGGAGGTTGTGAAGACTAAGACTTTAACAAGGTTCAAAAAAGAGCTACACAAATTCTTGGAGGTTAGGTCCATCAATGGCTATTAGCCAGGATGGATAGAAATGGTGTCCCTAGCCTCTGTCAGAGGGTGGAAATGGATGACAGGAGAGGCATCACTTGATTATCTGTTCTGTTTACTTCCTCTGGGGCATCTGGTATTGGCCACTGTCGGCAGACAAGATATCAGGCTAAATGGACCTTTGATCTGAGCCAGTATGAC